AACTGAAGTGAACAGCCCTGGCTGAAGAAAAGTGGTTTCCACTACAAGACTGGATATAGATAAATCAGTGGGAAACAAGGGAAAGGGAAAATATATGCATAAATATGCATTGACAGTGAGTGAATAAATACATTTCATAACTATTCCATGTGGAGAATAAATGCATACAATCACAAGTACCAAAGACAAAAACGGCAGTGGAGTTAAGTGTTGCAGCTTCACTTTTAATAAGTTATAACACCGATCATAATTATATTTTAGCAAGTCAAGGTTAGATGTTGACATAGTTAACCACTAGGAACAAAATACAAACAGAATATAACTGACATGTTAATTCAGTGGGGAAATTAAAAATACAAACCAGAAAAAGAAAAAAGAAGGAAAGAAATGGAACAAGTTAACAAGAAACATACAAAATAAATAGAAAGCAGTGAGGTTGTTTCTTTTTCTAAAACTTCATCGTTAGTCCTCTCAAGTTCCTTATGAAGCATTCTAAAGCTACATGGTCACCAATAAAATGTATAAAGTTTATATTACCCTTTCATTAAATTTAAGCAGAAGTATCAGATATAGAGTTTAAAATGTGTTAGCACTAAACTTTACTAGTCTGATTGACTTAAGAGATTACTTCTAATGCATAAGGATATTTTATATTTCATACATACAGTGAAATTTCACAAAGGAGGCAGGCTAGTCTATGTATAAAATCACTTAGTAAGACGCACAGACTACTGTGATATGTTGGGTATGGGAAAATGGAGAAAGGAGAAGGAGAACTTGTTTTCTCACCTGTTATTATTTAGCATGGAATTCTTTCACATAGAGAAGTTTCTATCAATCCCAACTGCAACCACATTAGCTCCTAACACATCTCCTGGCCCTATATGTCATTTAGCTACCAAATTCTACAACGAATAAACGGAAACGTTCCCTGTGGTTTATTTACAGCATTCAAATTTCATTCATTTCATTTCATTTTTCTTGACCAGCAAATCCTACCTGGGGGCTATGTAATGGAAAGATGATTCCCAAACAATGACGACACCCACTGGATGCTGGTGCTAAGACAAGTCTCAACAGATAGCCAGCCTGTCGTCGTTCTCATTAAATTTGAACTCTTTTAACAATTACATATTATATACTATAATGTGCTAATCCTTGTTTTAAGACCGTTTCCCAACTATGTGATGCTTGGCTTATTCTCTGCAAAGGTGTGTTTGGAGCCCAGTCCTAGCAGAAAGCGGCTATCATCTTTGCAGCCATCTCGGACAATATACCCTGACAAGAGACTTGTTTTCAACAGCATACAACAGCTGAGCACACTCTGATAAACATCTTGCTTCTCTCACATATCTTGTTTTGCTGTTTAGTGCCCCCAGCTGCAAGGCGCACGTGGTCTCCACACTGCTAGCCACACATGATTTCCGGTATCCGTGCTGCTAGGCGCACGTGATATCCACGCTGCAAGGCACATGACATAGTGCCTTCAACTGTGCTTTTCCACGAGGGCAAGGCACGTGGTAAAGGGTATAACTAACCAGGATTTCCCTTCAATAAGAGAGACTTGATCAGACTCTCTGTCTTGTCTCCATTCTTCGTGTCTCTTGCCCCTCCATCCCCACTCTCTCTCTTGCTAGACCCTGTTGACTGACCCGAAAGGACCGGGACAGAGTGTCCCCTAAACATGGAACAAACGGGTCGTTACAAAGGTGAGCAGTCATTCATTTGTTTAGAAAGTATGTACTTATCATCAAAACTAATCAGACATTTTGTTGGGTGAAGTAAATCCACTCATGGGTTGTTTGCTGGTCTTGTTGGCCTTAACGTATGTCAGAGAGTTATGTGCCAAATAATTGTCAAATAAATAGATAATCCATATTACAATACAGTAGGTCACTGTACAGTAAGCTCAGAACAAAAGTCAATAAGAAGAGTTTGTGAGAAAGTAACATTTAAATTGAACACTGACGATTGAATAGAAGCTGATTAATTGAGAAATATCTTCTAAGATGGATGAGAAAAGCAGAGAGAGCATAGTTTATAGAGACCTCAAAGAAGGCCACTGTGGCGTACGTCACACACACACACACACACACACAAAGACAAGAATAAAAGTGAATAGCTTAAGATGTGATGAATAAAGGACTGCTGGAGGGTTCGGAGACCCCATTTGTGTTTGTCTATTTCTAAAAACAATGGAATTCACAGGTAGTTGTGAAACAGGGTAACGTTTACTGGAAATACAGAATTTCTGAACTGTGTATACAGAGGGCTGAAGAAGGAAAACAAATTAACAAGAGAAAGGCACAGTCTCATCATACAGAGGTCACATATAGCTATTTTAAAACGGTAGTGCTGATGAACTTGGGAAATAGATACACTTGAAAGGATTTAAAGAATAAAATTCCAGGCCTCTATAATGCTTTGAAAATAATGGAATGGAGCCTTCTGTTTGGAGCTTGTGGGGTGAGCTGTAAGGAGACAACAACAGAAAATCTTGAAGAAAGACCACATTACTTAGTGTATTACTAAGGGTTTTGATTGTGATGATAAAATACCATGACTAAAGTCAGCTTGAGGAGGGAAGGACTTATTTTAGCTTATACTTCCATATCCTAGTCTAGTACTGAAGGAAGTTTAGGGTAGAGATCAAGGCAGGGACCAGGAGTCAGAGACAATGACGATCGCTGCTTACTGGCTTGATTTTTGTGGCTTGCTCAGATGACTTTCTTGTAGCACCCAGAACCACCTGCTCAGGGATAGCTCTGCCTACAGTAAGCTGAGCCATTCCACATCAATCATAAATTAAAAAAAAAGAGGCTGATCTAGGGGGTACATTTTCTAAATTGAGGGTTCCTCTCCTTACATGACTTTCAGAATGTATGAAAATTAAGTTTCTGGGAGGACTTCTGTGTGCAGACCAGGGATGATTATCCACAGAAACTAGGCAGCAGAGAAAGAGAGAACATAGATGCAAGTTGGAAATGTTGAGTATCAAATTCTGTTGAGATATCCAAGCACAGACAAACGCTCAGAAGAGAGAAGAAAATATAAACCCAAGAACTGGGATACAAATAATAACCAGGACTATGAGAAGAGATAAGCTGTAGGACAGGCAGGCATCATGACCCAGAGAGAAGCCACTTAACCCAGCAAGGACACAGGGAAAAGAGACCTGGACCAAATAAAAGCTTTGTAAGATATAATTGAGGGACGAATGGAAGTGTCCCAGACAGAAGAGTTGGCAGGTGTTAAGGTGATTTAGAGAGCCTTCCAGAAAAGCACATGGGAGTCTGAAAGCTGTGTCCTTATATTGCCTCAGCAGTAATCCTAGAAGTTTTCATTTTCCCCATTTCTTCCACTTAATAGGTGAAGCAAATGCTATCCCCTGGCATTCTCCTCCTCTTCACCATCCACAAATCAGAACACTGGGGCATCCACACCACTCTAAGAATCACCCAAGCATGTGAAGAAAAAGTCATGTGATTGCATCCTGAAAGGTAAATGTTAGGGCATCTTGGTTGTGTAAGACAAACTGACCACTACAGAATTTTGACAACATTCCAGGAAGTTCAAACCAGACTACGTGGAAATCAGCCGAGTAGACATGAAAGGAGACTTCACCATTGTCACCATCAGGTTTGAGCAGAGGGTCCTGGTCAACCCTTCTTGCCTTCTTATTAGTATTACTTATAGAAAATACCGGATTCATTGTGGCTCTTGCACATGTGCATATTGTATGCCGCGATCGGCTTCACAGCCTCAGCACCCCCACTCATCAGCTCCTTCCCTGATGCTTCATGTCTCCTAACCCTCCCCTTTCTACTCTCAATATTTACTTCCCTTCCTTGGGCAACAGAATACAGGCAATATTAGTTGTTTGGGCTCTGGCTTATTTCCAGGTATCTACCTACAAATGTCTTGATTTTATTCATCTTTCTAAATAATAAACCATTGGGTAATATGCCATATCTTCCGTATTGTATCCATCCATCTGTTGATGGGCAGTGAGCCCATTCTAGGACTCAGCTCTTGCAAATAGGTCCAGTCATACTCTAATTAATGGGTAGCAAACTATGTATAAAACCACCCACGAATGCTAAATCCCACTTGCGGATCAAAGGCTTCGATTTCACATGTGAGAACACTGAACTGAGACCACACGATAAGAATATGAATAGCTACAGTTAAATTGTTGGTGTAACATCACATAGCAAAGCTAGGCTAGCCCACTGAAATACAAAATTGACGGGAACAACACTGTTCACAAGGTGAACAGGCACCTAGAATTAAAAAGGCTAATACCTAAGGCTCTACAAAGCCCTTGACTCTTAACAGGTTTCAACATTTAGGTATCGATCATTACTGTCATTTCGTGTTATGTTTAAAGTTTAAGCTTTTATGGGAAAAGGAAATTTCTTAATATGTATGCTCACTTAACAGGCACATTTGTTGATAGTACATGGAATCATAAAATACATAAACACTGAGCTGGTTATTGCCTTTACACAGCTCTCAGGATAATGCAGGAATAATTTTATTCTGTCATGGTTTTATTCAAGTTTGCTTAACTTTTGTTAATGCAAAAACACTGTAGCGATAGTCAATGCTCTAACATACCATGTGATTTTAATCGTAGTATGCCTTCCGAGTGTGCCCTAGCTTCAACCTCTTTCTACCACACAAGGTGACTTGTTTGTAGTCTGTTACACATTACAAGGAAGAAAGTGAGAACAAAGGCACCACCCTTCCAAGAACACACACAGACAGGATCACTCCTGTTGGTGAGCTGCAAAGGCCTGGGGTAGGGAAACTGCTAGGCACGCAAGGATGAGCCTACTGTTCACAGCAGAGAGGATGCAAAGCTTTTCAGCTACAGACACACACACTGACAATAGAATGGGCCTCAGGCAGGGCCCTGGCTTACAGAGGTGACACAAACAAAGGGGATGAGGGTGAGGTTGATGGGGGTGGGGACGCCCTAGGCCGCGAGGTGGTACCTGCGCCGGGTCCAGCGCCACTGCCACTGAGTCTCCGCTCCAGAGATGCTCGCGGAGAAGCTGCTGGTAGTTGAGGCAGTGCTTCGCAGCAGACGGTAGATTCCCCATGGCAGTAGCCTAGGTGCTGCGGGCGATGCTGGATCCCGCAACCCGAGACGCGAGCCGGGTGGAAGCCGGGAGCGCGTCTCGCGGATGCCCGGGGTCCGAGCTGCACTGCGGCGGCGCGGTTCCTGGGCAACGCCCAGGCACGGATGCAGGGGTTACCTGAGTCCCGCGCCGAGACCCAGATCCTGGATGGGGACAGTTAATTGAGGCAGGGTGGCATTTTTTTCTCTCTCTCTCTCTTCCGGTAGATCATGGAGCTCTCAGGACTGATTCTCTGCAGGTGCTCACCTACCAACCCCTCGCCTGAGTCAGAGTTCTGGGACAGGACCCAGGCCTCTGATGGGAAGAAGCATAGGGCTCTCTACAGACATTCTTTCCTTCCCAACCACAAGCCTGTAGGGTTGGCACTATGAATCTGTTTGAGTTTATGTCTCCTGTCAAAACTCTATTTTGCAGTACTAAAAAGCATAAATCCAAAAATTAGGGGGGATATCAGAGGTAAACAGCAAACCAAGAAGTTGTCAGTAAAACCGATGGTGCAAGATAAATGTTGAAATGCTGAATTCTTTTTCGCTGTTTTACATTTATTGATTTTAATGGTTGTCTCCTTCCACAGTCTTATGGGAGTCAGGGCTAGAATTCAGCTGTCTGCTTCGGCCTCACCACAAGCCCCTTTACCATCCCCCTGGGTATGAAGAACTGTTTCTTTTAAAGAAACTGGGCAATAACTAAATCCCTACAGGTTTTCCTTTCATTCAAACAAAAACAACCTGTCAGAAATTAGAATTAATTATAAATTAAATAGATTTCAATTTATAATTGTCATAAAATATTTATAAATAATATAAATAAATATATTCATATGTCTATACATAAATATATGTTGAATTTATATATTATAAATTATTAGATTTATATGGTATCCTTGGATCCAGACAACCTTCTGCTTCATTCCACCTACTTCATAAGCACGCTTAGACTGCAGCACTCAAATGTTCTTCAGTGTGAAGTCTGTAGCTTGCAGCTAATTATACACAAGCATCAAGAATAGTCTTGTGCAGGGTGCCTGCAGTCTCCTGGAGACCCAGGTAGATGTCTTTGGTCAAGATGCTAGCTGGCCCTACTATTTCCACACTAGTAGGAATCAAGACCGCACAGGTGCACATGCTTGCACAAGTATACAACGATTAACTTCTAAAACCTAATATGAACAGATTTTGAAGAGATTCATCATCAGATTGGATAAAGAATATTTTTATTTTGTTTTGTTTTTGAGAATTTCATACAAGATATTTTGAACACATTCACTCCCTGTACCCTAAATCCCCCCAAGCTCCTGCTGCATCCCTTCTATCCAAGTTTAAGATATCTTTTGACATTATCCTTTCCCCATCAAGTCCAGTTTGTGATGTCCATCTAGTCTTTGGAAAGGGAACTGCTCTGGTGTGTATGCGTGCGCGTGAGCGGCTGACTCTCTCTCTCAGAGCAGCTATCACATACTAAGCTACTCAGCTACTGGCGGGATTTCGTAGCCACTTTCCCCGCTCTACCCCAGGGTTTTGTCTCGCTGGAGTTTGTGGTGGTCTTGTGCATGCTGTTAACAGATGCTATGAGTTTGTCTTTGCAATTGCCCTGTGGTACCTGGAAAACATTATTTCCTTGATGTTATCCTTCACCTGGGGTTCTTACTGTCTTAATCCTCTCTCTTCCCTGAGCCCTGGGGGTTGGAGTGTGATATGTATGTCCCATTTAGAGTTAAGCACTGAACCATCTTGTTTTCTGTATACAAGCTTAAAGAGACCTAGGTACCACAGAGCTTTGAGGCACATGGTGTAGTTCTCTCTCCTCACTGGGTAGGTTAACTTGGAGTCTCAGCTCTGAAGAGAATGCTCTGTGGTTACATGTGTTTATAGTTCTTTTGGCATCCATGTAGGTGGCTCACACCCACCTATATCGTCTAACCCCAGGGGGATCTGACTCTTCTAGCATCTGGAAACCCCTACTGACATGCACATACACATAAAATGAGTTCTTCATTTTATTTTGTCTTTTCATTTAAGAAAACATAAAATAGATTTATTCAAGTTGCAAATAATAATAAAAATAAGAATAAACTTGGATTTCAAACCTAGTGTCCTGGAGCATGGCTATAATTATATTGAGAATGTAACCCACTTGCAGCATAGAGCAGTTAGTAAGGAAGACAGATACTTCAGTAGTTTGAAACGCATAGAATATTTTATTTACTTTCATGCTTCTAAGGAACTAGATGAGAAAAGTAACAGCTATAGTAATCTATACTCAACTCATATTTATCCAATAATTTCTATATACTATGCATTAGCTTAAAACTTTTTCATGTGCTAATTCATGCAATCTTAGTAACAGCCTCCTCTTATAGGCTTCTTTAATACAGCCATTTGGAATGTGGAGACTGAGAGTTAAAAATCACCAACCATAAGTGACCAAGCGATCAACATATCTACTGACTCAGCTGTCTACAGACCCAGTCAGAACCAAAGCAACCATCTCTCTGGTGACTCAGCTGTCTGCAAACTCAGTCTTGACCAACGTGATAGAGCTAGCCAGTGATTCAGCTGTTGTATAGATTTCCCATGACCAAAGTGACCCATCCATCCAGTGACTCAGTTGTCTATAGACCCAGTCATGACATAAATGATAGATCCACCCAATGATTCAGTTGTCTATAGATCCAGTCATGACATAAATGATAGATCCATCCAGTGACTCAGTTGTCTATAGACCCGGTCATGACATAAATGATAGATCCACCCAATGATTCAGTTGCCTATAGATCCAGTCATGACATAAATGATAGATCCATCCAGTGACTCAGTTGTCTATAGACCCAGTCATGACATAAATGATAGATCCACCCAGTGACTCAGTTGTCTATAGACCCAGTTATTTGGCACCAAAGCTCTGCTGCTTGCAGCTTATGTAGACTACCCTTGTAATAGAGCAGAAGAATTACTACCTGATACCACCTCCCTCATTATTTGATAGACAGATTAATTAGAACATGTCTCTCACACACAATAGGAAAAATGGATTTATCTATTTAAACTATAACATCTATGAAATTCTTGACAGTATAGGCTATGACACTTTATGAACAAATTAGTTAATGTTTAAAATAATATCAAAGCCAATAATTCTAAAATATCATCAATGTGCTTAACTTTACTTACCTCCTTCTTTTGTCATTAATTTAAGTACCTGCCCCATGCTTTTATTTTCAAAAGATTTATCTATGCCAGGCAGTGGTGACACATACCTTTAATCCGAAATGGGGACACTGAGGAGTCAGAGGCAGGTGGAACTCTGTGAGTTCAGGGCCAGCCTGGTCTATAGAGTGAGTTCCAGGACAGCAAAAACTATACAGAGAAAGCCTGTCTCAAAAACTGTGTGTGTGTGTGTGTGTGTATATGTGTGTGTGTGTGTGTGTCCATGTGCATATTTGAGTGTTTTGCCTGTATGGTCATAAATGCAATATATATATATATATATATATATATATATATATATATATATATATATATGTGTGTGTGTGTGTGTGTGTGTGTGTGTGTGTGTGTGTGTGTGTGTGTACATAGTGCCTGCAGAGGAGCACAGTTACTCGGAACTGACTATGAGAGTGCAGGAAACTGAACACTGCTCATCTGAGAGAGCAGCAAGTGTGCTTTAACGACAAAACTATATCTCCAGCCCTCTCCCCATCTCTATGCTGTTTCATATTGCCTTGAACCAGAATGGAAAGATGGCCTTGAACCAGATGGAAAGATGAGAATAGAGACATGAGAAGGAAGAAATCCTTGACCTAGAAGTCTGGATAAAGCCTCTTGCCAGATGACAAGAGTAATCATAATCCCAGCATAGTTAACATTTGCTCAAAGGCCTTCTTCCTTTCTCACCTCTAAGCCTGCAGTTTACCAAGAATCTTACTATCTGATTTACCCACCATAACTACCCAGTATAGTAAAATGTCTGGTCCAGAGATCATACAACATTGGTGGGTTTGAGTTCTATCTTATTAGATTATAATCCCATCCAAGACCAGCCCCCAAGGCTACACCATAATTTCATCTACCAAACAGAAAAGAGAAATGAGTGGGTTAAATGTTTCTTAGCAACCCTCTGAGATACAATCTGAGAGCCACAATGTTTTGCAGGGATCATGCTTAAGCACATAAAACCTGTATTGAAAATAAGGCTGGTGAGATGACTCTTTAGGTAAAGCATTCACAGAACAAGGGTGAGAATCAGAGTTCAGATATCTAAAAACTTACTTAAAAGCCAGATAGGCAAGGCAGCTGCCTATATCCCAGCATTCTGTGGGGCAAAAAAAAAGGTCCTCAGATCAGGCTGGATAGCTAGCCTAGCCAAAATAGGCTAGCTCTAAGTTCAATGACAGACCCCACCTCAGTACATAAAGTGGAAAATGATAGAAGAAAGCCAACACAGATGCACAAATGCATATTGTCACCTCATACTTCAGAGAGAGAGAGAGAGAGAGAGAGAGAGAGAGAGAATACACTTTATAAATACCCATATCATATATGCATTCTCACACCAAATTAAAGATAACTATAGTAAATAAAAAATATAAAAATTATCTTAATAAACTGTTACTATTCTCTGAATAGCCCACACCCATTCTCTTTGATGTGCTTTTCTCCCCCTTAATACCTTTCCATTTTTAAAAACTCAAATTGTGCTTCACAATGCCTCCTCCTCACAGTCTCTCCTGCATCTAAGCCAAAGATCTTGTTTCAACTGAGTTGAGGTCTTTAAAAGATCTGGGATCTTCTTGGCTTCTGAGGGTGAAAATGTGGAACTGTGCATCTGTCCCTGGCTGTTGACAATCTGTGCCACTGAGACAATACATCCCAATTCACCTGGTCCCAAATTAGTTAATACCTTTCCTGTCCTGCTTAGAATTAACCAAACTGGTCTTTTAGCAAAGAGATTTATTTAATAAC